AGCACTGACGTGTTTAATGTTAAGATATGTAACTTTATATTTAGGATAATTGAAATTTATAGACTTTTCAAGCTAGCGAATGTAGAAACCTTGTAACTTAAGTACAAGGTTACATTATAATATGTACATATTATAAGTACAAGAATTAGACTTCTGGTAAGTTTGAAGTACTAATTTTCGGATTTTTGAAATTTCTAATTTAGGACTTTAGAAACTGAATAATTGACGAATTTAGGTATTTTAAAATTTCCAAATCTAAATATTAAAAAAATTAGAAATTTGAACTCCGGAAATTTTCAGATTTATGATTTCAAAAATTTAGAATCTAGAAGTCCAGAAATTCAGAAATTCAGAAATCTAGAAATCTAGAAACTTTTGAAATTTATAAGGTTATTAGATTAGGAACTTAATTTAGAAATTCAAAATAATAAAAATATAGAGAAATTTAGAAATTTAGGAACTTCACATTTCCAAACTAGCAATTAAAAAATGAGTGATTTGAAAATATAGAGATTCGAAAGCGTAATATCTGAAAATTCTGAAATTTCTAATTTTTTAATTTTGATATTTAGAAATCTTGATATATTAAATTTCTGAATTTACAAGTTTATATAGAAAATTTAGAAATACATCATATTAGACTTGTCAATATTCAACTTGTATAAATTAAAAAAATCATAAAAATGTCAAATTTAATCATTATCAAATATTTAAATTAAAAAATTCTTAAAGTAAAACATGTTCAAATACTGATTTCTCAAATTTATGAATTCTCTAACTTCGAAATTTTTAAGTTTAAAAATTTATTCATTACCAAGATCATAAATTTCGAAACATTAAAGTATCAAATTGTTTAATTTGTAAAATTAAAAATTCAGAAATTCAGGATATTGAAACCTTAGAAAAACTGAAATTCCACTTTTCACATTTAAAATTGCTTATCTTCTACATTTAAAAATTCAAGAAATTTGAAAATTCATTTAAAAAATCAGTTCAATTCAACAATTGAAATGCATGGAAATAAAACAGTGATAAAATCTCTAATTCTCAAAAGAAAAAATTTTTCAATTTATTTATTCAAACATTTAAGAATGTAGTTATTATAGAAATTTACAGACTTATAAATGTATAAATATGCAAACAGAAAAATATAAAAATGTTCAATCTACAAAGTTTAAAAGAATCTTGTGACTTTTAAAGAATTCAATAACATACAATTTGCAAGTTTCTAATTTTCCACATTCACGAATGCACATCTTTGCGCAAACTCTCCGCTCACCCAGTTACCCATCACTAACTACACATATCTAAATATCAAGGTGACTACATCTTTTAATTTTATTCTATTTTCGATAACTTCTCCTCCTCTTTTCAGAAATACTAACGTTTATATTTTACAAGGTTTTGATGATTGTAAGTTGCAATCAGAATGTCCTTTTGATTGTCCCTTTGCAAGCATTCACCTATTCTACCGAACACGTTCATCTCTGACAATTTAGAACTGTATCCTAAATACGCAGTGAAATTAATTTACACAGAGGAGGAGTATATTTATGAAAAATATGTTCGATGTATCTCACCGAAACGAGCTCGTTCTGCCTCTACAAATTTGAACACCTTTTTATTGTCCTACTATTTGTCTAGTCAACTATTAAATCACTACCAGTCTTTTGCGATGCGTTTGTTTCGTTGCTATAACACCTACATCTTTGGCTACGAGAAAAATGAGGCCACATAGGTGACTAACCAAGTTCTGCCGAACAGATCTATTACTACTACTACTTTATATCTTTTGTATCCCTTTTTATCTTCTCACTACGATCACAGTTATACTGAACTGAGCTTCTCAAGCAGTTTCGTTAGAATTCGCCTATTCTCACACTCGAATCCCAGAAATATAAAGGAATGATTTTGTCTACAGCTACCGTTATTGCACTTTCGATACGATGTCGAATCGGAAACGAATAGCGAAACAATTTACGCTAATACTTTCTGCAAAACGAAGGCGACGGGTCTTAAGGAATGTTCGACGTGCCGTACAAGGCACGTATTTCGTTGAAACGATGACCTTTGACGATACAAATAGAATTAAATAATATTTACAAATTATGTATCAAAATACTAACCACGAACTGAAATATATCATACAAACGTGTTTATGTTTCCATTTTTAATCAGCGAATCAGATTTCCCTTGCACTTAACGCTGTAAAAAACTTATCGAAAGCGTCTACATTTCCAGATTTGTACCGTTCGTAATTTCTTGGCACACTGAATCGAACACCATGATGATTATTATTAATTTTTTAGGGAAATACACGGCATTTGAGATGGTGATTTGGTTCGGATTTAGTTGCACAGTGTAAAAGTAATATTTTTGTAGAAATTGTATTGCATACATTGATTGAGTAAGTGAGATATTCGAGTAAAATTAAAAAATTGCAAAATTTGAAAATATAGATGTTTGTAAATTTGAGGACTTGGAAATTTGGGAAATTATTAATTTTGGAAAAATATAGGAATTTAAGAAGTTGAGAATGTGGAAATGTAGGAGTTTAAGAATTAAAAAACTGCAGGATTGCATAATTGAAGAATGGAAAAACTGCAAAATTGAAGAATTGAAAAATTTTTGAACTTAGGCATTAGATAATTTAGCGATTTAGGAATATAGTATCTATGGTATCTCAGAATTTCAGAATTTGAAAATTTGAGAATTAGAATGTTTCAAAACTTGAGAATTTGAGGACTTCGAAATTTGGGAATTGACAAATTTGAATGGAGAATTTAAAAGTTCGGAAATTTGAGTTTTCAAATATTCTATCACCTAGGAAACTCAATATCTGTACATCTGAGAATTTCAAGTTTTTAAGATCACCAATCTTGAAAACCTCCGCAAAAACTTATAAATTCTAAAACTCAAAAACTCGAGCAACAATCCAACCAATAAAATTAATAGCAAATGTATCAAAACCCGATAAACATTTTCTCTCTTATTTCCATCAAACTTTCACAAAAGTATCACTCTTCCACCATCCAAAATCCGTCGCAAATCAAATCTCCGTCACCGCGCAACCCTTATCAAACCTAACCAAAAAATCTCTCATCCTCAAATACTTCGTAACCCTACGAACCTAAAACGACTATCCCTGTCGATCCACCAAAACGAGCGCTACACTAAAACGAGACCTCGAGGAAAATGAAAAGAACGCTCTGAACTGTACCCCTCGATACATATAGCAGGCTACTGTGGCCTAGAGAGGGGCGTGAGTATCGTGGGTCATAGACCAATGGTAGGTATCGGATGGTAAACGGCACCCATGTCGAGACCCTGTACTCCCAACAGGTCGCTCATCGAATAAGTGAGAGTGGCGGCTCTAGAAGCTGCTGCTGCTGCGACCGGGTGAGGCCTGTATGAGGCCGCGGCCGCAGCCGCAGCCGCAGCAGCGAGTGCCCTCTTGACATCGTAGACAGCCGCGGTGGTGGCCGCAGCCGCAGCCGCAGGTGCGGTTGCACCTGCGGCATACTGATAGGTAGCGGCCGCGTTCGGTGCGGCGGTAGCGACGATCGGGGCGAGCAAGTGGTGGTGGGATGTGCCGGCGGTGGCTGCTGCAGCTGCATGTGCAGCAGCGGCAGCGGCCGTC